AGAAACCAGATGTAGACTAGATACCAGGAAGAATTTCCTCACTGTCAGAGCAGTAATACAATGGAACATATTATCTGGGGAAATCGTGGGCTCTCCATCACTGGAGACATTCAAAAAGTGTCTGGATAGTCATCTGAATGGGATGGTGTAACACCATCCCATTATTTATTTATGTAAGCCGTCCTGAGTCCTTCGCAACAGGATGGCATATAAATATTCTAAATAGATAGTGTCCTAAAGCAGGGTTGGACCCAATGGCCTTCTGGCCCCTTCCGGATCTATTATCCTATGATTAATATCTAATTATCATTGATTTTGGATCAGATGTTTTGCTGTTGGCAAGGTAAGCATCATCTAGAATCAGTGCTTTTTTTGTCATAGAACGCACCGGAACAGAGTTCCGGCACCTTTTTTTGACAAATTTTTCAAGTTTTAAAAGTAACTTTTGAAAATTTGATGTTTGGTCCACGTGGATTTGAATCGGCTGTCAAGCGTAGCAGGTCGGCGGCAAAATCATTAAAACGGTGCATGCAGGCTGCTTGTGTGTTGAATCCGATGCATGCGTACTTCATCCGCACTGGTTGTGATGGCGCTGCTCGGCTTGTGGCACTGCTCGGCTTGTGATTGGTCGTGTCGTCGTACGCCGAGTGCTTACTGCGGGCGGCGACTGTTATGTTTCGTTACACAACTGACGTGTGTGGGTGTGTGTACAGTGATTGACTACATGCGAAAGATTAAGAATTTCATGAGTTCCGGCACCTTTTTTCTTACAAAAAAAGCAGTCTAGAATACGCAAAACCTCTTATCATCCTACTTGTTTTTAATGTGAAACCCAAATAAGAGATTTGTGCAACCCCAAAACTTGCACCCAATATTGTAAGCACAGAGTACTATTTGATAAAGAGAAAAAATAATAAATAGACAGACATTCACATAATCCGTTTTTAACTGACAAGCAGAAAGTATAGAAAGTGGTAGGTCAGAACACATTCATGGCTGAAAGAAGTTGCAAAGATATTTTCAAAGGTCAATACTGAAGCAACAGCAACAGTGACACAAACAGAGCTGCAGCAGCATCTAACCTGAAGAACATTTTCCATCACCATTTCGCCTAAGGCCTGCATTAGTAACTCCCAGGAGTTGCCAGCTGTCTAACTGAGAACTGCCATCCCATCTACCCCTCCCGGAAACATACCTTGGTTTCAGTGGGTCTACTTTAAGTATGACTGAATTTGCATCCATCCCACTGGAATGAATTAACTGAAGTATGAACTGAGTAATGGACTAGGTGAGCTCCTGGTTTGGCTTCTATATTCTTATTTATTCATTTTCACTTATGGGCAGCCACCTTGAAGGTCTGCTATTAGACAGAATATATGTATTTGAGAGAGGGACCTTAAACACTAAAATTAGCATATGTAAACATATGTAACCTAAGAATAGATCATAGGTTAATTCTGGGTTGTTTAACCCCTAAACAACCAGTGCACAGGTTCAGATGTCATGACAGCAATGTGATCAGGAGAATGTTAGGTTGCAACATATAAACAGAAAAACGTTCACACACTCTTAGTAGACCTTAGTGAAGAGTGGTGATGTCTTGTGTGGAGAAGAAGAGAAAGGTTACTGTTTGGAAGAGGAATCACCTTTCATAAACATGTTAAATAACTGAATTTCTGGTGTTTTCTCTCTCTTCTGCCTCTTAGCACTACTGGTTGAGGGTTTTGGTTCACTTTCCCTCTTTTCTATGGAGAAGAAGCTTTCCAATGTAGTCTGGTGTTGGCAACTTTTCTGGATTTTCCTAAAGTAGGCCATCACATTGTCATTGAACAAGTTAATGCTCCTATTCACCACTGCTGTGTTAGGGTGCCACTTTTCAACAATGGCCTGTCTTCTAGCCCAAAAAGAGCACAGTTCCTTAATTTCAGCTCTGGAAATCTTCCTCTTGGCTGCCTCTTCCTCCTCTGAAGAAATTTCCTCTGCCACTTCTTGCTGCTGATTGTGAAGGAACTGAAGTGCTTCTATGGTTAGTTCAGACTTGTGATCATCCACTAACTCCTTCACTTCCTCATCACTCACCTCCAACCCCATGGACTCGCCCAGAGACACAACTTCATTCACCACAGATGCTGATTCAAAGCCTTTGAAGTCTCTGGATGAAATACAATCTGGCCAGAGTTTCTTCCAAGCAGAGTTCATTGTCCTGAGAGAAACTTCTCTCCATGTTTTATCAATGATCCTTAAGCAATGAAGGAGATTGTATTGATCCTTCCAAAAGTCTCTGAGGGTCAGTTGTGTCTCATTGGTCACCTCAAAGCACCTCTGAAACATAGCCTTAGTGTACAGTTTCTTGAAATTCGAGATGACGTGTTGGTCCATGGGTTGGATGAGAGATGTGGTATTGGTGGGCAAGAACATCACCTTGATGAAGCTGGATTCATCCACCAATTCTTCCTCTAAGCCTGGAGGATGAGCAGGAGTGTAGTCCATTAATAGAAGAGCCTTCAGTGGCAGGTTCTCTTCAGTAAGATAAGCCCTCACAGAAGGAGCAAACTCCTCATGAATCCACTCAGTGAAGAACTGTCTGACAACCCATGCTTTCATGTTTGCCCTCCACATAACATTGCGCCTACTCTTTGTTCTTTTTAAACACATGTGGATTTTCAGAGTGGTACACAAGCAAAGGCTGTATCTTACAGTTCCCATGAGCATTACCACAAAGCAGCAGAGTAAGCTTATGCTCCTGTATAGTCCTCTCCTGTAATGTAGGTCCTCCTAGCCATTCTCTTTCAGGAGAGGCCTGTCTCATCACAATTGAACACTTACTGAGGCACAAATCCCTCACAATCAACATACTGCTTAAAGATATTCTCAGACTTTTCAGCTTCCCCCACATTAGCACTAGCAGCCTCCCCACACATCACAACACTATGGGTACCAGTTCTTTTCCTACATTTATTGAACCACCCCCTACTCCTCACTTGCAACTCTGGTTCCAGGAGTGCATTTCTCGGAAATACAGCTGCTTGGCTTTCTCACAAATAATCCTCTCAGAAATGGTATCACCAGCCAATTGTTTCTCATTTATCCACACTAGGAGGCGTTTTCCCATCTCCTCAATAACATGTGATCTCCTAGAGGTCAATGTTCTCACACCTTTGGCCGCCTTTGCTGCTTTTATTGCTTCCCTATTCTTAAGAATGGTGCACACTGTTGACTTTGGCATCTTAAACAGGGCTGGCAGATCTGCCGCACACATGCCATTTTCATGCTTCACAAACAAGTTCCTTTTTCACCTCATTTGTCAATACTACAACCTTCCTCTCAGGTTTCCTTGTTTCCACACTCTTCCTGGATGCCATGTAGGGGTTGTATATATAACCAAACACCCAAAAATAAAGTGGAAAAAAAGCACTGAAAACACACAAGTGTTATGCAAGAGGTGCTTTCACAAGAGATGACATGGGTGCACAACAATGACATTTATGCGATAACTGCATTTTTTCTCTCTGTGTTAAGTTCAAATGTAGAAGCATTGTTTGAACTTCAGTTCAATTTTATCTTTATTTATTTGGGTATTTTTACTCCATCCAATATGTAGTGGGTCTCTGGACAGCTTACAAATCCAAATCCAATAAATACATATGTTGTTGTTAGTCGCAAAGTTGTGTCCAACCCATCGCGACCCCATGGACAACATTCCTCCAGGCCTTCCTGTCCTCCACCATCCCCCAGAGTCCACTCAAGCTCACACCAACTGCTTCAGTGACTCCATCTAGCCACCTCATCCTCTGCTGTCCCCTTCTTCTTTTGCCATCTATTGTTCCCAGCATTAGACTCTTCTCCTGGGAGTCCTTCCTTCTCATTAGGTGGCCAAAGTATTTGAATTTCATCTTCAGGATCTGGCCTTCTAAAGAGCAGTCAGGGTTGATCTCCTCTAGGAATGTATAATCCATGGTTGAGAGCATAAACCATAGTTAAAATATTAAACATTAAAATTACAGAAACATAAAAAGGTCTTGACCTGAGCTGAAAAGCATAAAACGTCAAATTTAGTGTTTGAACTCTGGAATGTTCCAGGTTAGAGTCGTTCGAAGTACAAGGCACCACTGTAATCTATATTAAGAGGCTAGGAGTTTCTTTTGACAGTGGCATAGTGCCAGACTGTGAAACCTAGAACCTAAAACTTGGCATGCATGAAGGGATCACTAGCGATCTTCGTCTTGTTATTTTGCCTTTAGAATGCATTAATATAATGTCATGCAGTTGAAACCTGCAGGGGCATGTTATTCACTAGGGACAGCCTCCCCTAAGAATACAAGGATTTGCAATCAGTGTGGTTTGAAGCCAGGAAAAATAGGTTACAGAGTAACATAGCTTCTCCCTTCTTCTCATGGGTCCCACCGTCAGGGGGCGAACCCACCCCTAACCAGGCGTGCACCAGGGCAGGTGCCATGCCTAGGGGTGCCATTGTGCCAGCTTTTTTCAAAAGAACGTGTGTCACTCTCTGCAAATTTGCTTGAAGGATTCACTCGATCAAAAGCAGGGCTGTTCAACCCCATACGAAACCTGGACTGTTTGCTAGCGATAATAACAACCAGCAACGTCATGAGACAGTCGTGGTAGGCCCTGCCTTAGCAGGAGAGATCGGGCAAGGGATGAGGCAAGCGCTTGGAATCACACGCAACGTGGCTGCACATGATTACTGGGAGGCAAGTCCCGCTCTGCCGGGCGACGTGGCTCTCCGGCAAGCAAGCCTGCAGCGGAGCAGCGGAGGAGCAGAGTCGCATGGGGACGGCCGACTCTCCCGGCGACTCGCCTCGCTCTCTTTCCGCGGGCTGCGACCCCTCCGCCGCCGCCGCCGCCGCCGCGAAGACCGGATCCGGGTCGGGGATCCCGCACAGGCGCGACCGCTCCCGCGACTCAGACTGGCCGCGCTTGCAGCCAATCGGGAGGAAGCGCCGGGGCGGGATTTCCTGAGCTTCCCCGGCGGGGCTTGTTGTGGTCGGCGGGAGGGCGGGCGAGGAGCAGCCGCAGCAGCGGGACGCGGCGGCGGCGGCGGCAACGGCAACGCGGCCCGTCAGCTGGGCGCGGTGCAGCGGGGTCGGCAGGCCCGGCCTGCGGAGATTCGGCCGTCGCCATGCCTGGGATAGACAAGCTGCCCATCGAGGAGACGCTGGAGGACAGTCCCCAGGTGAGCGGAGGAGGCGGAGGCGGGCGCGGGCCCTCTCGGCCGGGGGTGGACGCAGGATGGCCGGGGCGGGGTTTGGCTTGATGGGTTGGCTGCACTGCTTTAACTACTCCGAAATAGCAATTCCCCTTCCAAATTCCCCCGGGGTTAACTCTCCGTAGCATCTAGCCAAGTGGCAATGCAGGGTTTGTGCAGCACCTCGGGCAGACCGGGGGAAGTGCCGCGCAGTCTCTGGCAAAATGCGCGGAGAATCGGCCTCTGGGACGGACTCTGCCTTTAGAGAGCAGCCAGGCTTAGGATCCCGCTTTGAAGCAGCCGCCGGCGAGGGACTTCTGGTGTCAAGAAGCATGCAGAGCGAAAAAAAAAAAAGCCTCCCCCCTTTCGATCTTGGAGTTCGGTGTAGTAAGAGGCAGTCAGCATCCCTTCCCACCTGTCTTTCTAGGGTGTAGATGCAAATAATACAGGAGACTTTTAGGATCATTGTATGTTCTTACAGTATTACATGCACTTTTCTGTAGATTTATTTTGTTAGGTCTTACAGAGCTGAGGATTGTAGTGTGCCAATGGCTCTGGATGACATCTGTCTCTGGCTTAATGTTGTGTAATTGCTGTCTCGTTTCCCCGCCACACCCTTTCTCCTATATTAGTTGGTTGAGTATGAGTAGGTTGAAATTGCCATCTTTAATGGAAGGTTAACTGCACTCCCTTGTAGTGAAACCTGTTCAGAGATTAAGCTTCATATGTATTATGTCATATGCATATTTATTTGGAATTATTTTCTGAAGTAGCTGTGTTTTAAATAGAGCTTCTTTACAGTTTGGCTGCAAGGTGCTGTTATATATCCACAGTTTCTATTGAAATAGGTTGGTGCTATTATGAGCCTCATTCTGGTTCAAGTAGCTTGACAGTTTGCTCGATTCTCAGGGCAAGAGTGAAGATGTGTAAACTTATTTATAGTGTTTTGAATTTCTTGTTTCAACTGTTAAAAATCCACACAGTATGTGGACCAGGCTGGTCTGAAATGATGAGTAGTATCTTCTGTTTACTCTGTAGAGCTGACATCTGTTGCTACAAAGGATATTAATAGGTGGGAAGAACTTTGAAACAGTTCTGTTTCAAATTTGGGCTATGTAGCAATCTGAGTAGTGCTGTGTAGTCTTACTGGGTTCATACACACACATTGCTGTGCAAGTATTGCAAAAGATAGGTGCAAATTTGCTAAATTAGCCTTTACACTGCTATTTGAATGCAGTGTTTTTAGTGCAGTTCATTTTCAGTGCTGCCAGTAATGGAGTATTATTGGGTGTGTTTTGTTATGCTTTTGACATCTGGATCTTATGCTTGTTGACTCAGAAGTGAGTGAGGATTACTTGGGAGTAAATCTGAGGCTCTAGACTTACACTTCTCAGCATTTTAGGTAAGCACAACACTCCAGGAGCAGCATGAACATGTTCTGTAAAAGCTAGTAAGCATTTTATATGCTTATATAAATATGGAATGTGTGTAGAAATTCCTGCAGCCAAACTTGGTGACAAATTTTTGAAATCATTGTGACCAACAGTGTGAGCTATGAGTCAGAAAGCCTCTGGTTGAAATCTTTACCTCACCTATGAATTTAAGCAAGCACTTATTCTGTCACCAGGTTCATATGACAGAACAAGCTCAGTAACCCATTCTGAACATGGTGCATGTTGGGCAAGCCTGAACATCATTATGATGATCTAGACTCCAATGGGATTGTAGCATGTGATCCAGAGCAACTCTTGTGTTTGCATAGCCAAAATGGTAGCCACACAACTCATCCTGAAGTGGGTTGGCTGCATCTTGTAAACTGGCATATTCAGTGTATCCTGTCCTAAATCTTTCAGTATAGAGATTTATTTATTTATTTATTTATCTGGGTGGTTAACAGTGCTAGTCTATTAGTCAGAGCTTCTGGAAGGATAACAGAATGGGTGGCCTTAACTAAGGTCTGGTGTTACACAAGAACAAATACTGCTTGCATGTTCTGCTGGATTTGGTCTGGGTTTGAAATCCTGGCTTGCAAGGCAAATGGAAACCATAGTCTCCCAGTTCAGGCATTACAGCTAATAATTTCTCAAACCAGAAAATGTCAAATTAAACAGAGCATAAGATGGGAGAATGATTGCCCATTCTTAGGCAATTTTATCTGGACAGAATACTGATGCATTGTTCTTAAATGCTGTAAGGTTGAATGAAAGTCCTCCAGACTGTCCTGTCCATGACAGCTCCATTCAGCTCTCCCAAGTTCAAGACTGGGTTCCTTTATGGATTCAATCTGTCTCACATTTGATCTTCCTTTCATCTTCTGCCTCTGACTTTCCATAACATAATTGTCAGAATGCTAATACATCATATAAAATATCTGCAAAGCATTTATTGAAGAAAATAAAGGATGTAAGTTAGGAGTCAAATATTACTGTAATGTACAACTTTGGGGGTTTTAAATGGTCAAGAGGCATACCACATCCTTTACCTGCCATTGTGAAGTAAAATGTAAGCATGGCAAATCTCGGATAATCAGCTGAATGTTGAGACTTCTGCGTAATGCATTTTTGCTTGCTTGCAGGGATGTTTGAGTTTTACCAAAGCTTTCTACTTTCAAGGAAAACTTCATACCAACTTCATACCTCTGTCATGAATTTCCTGGGTACTTTAGGATACACAGTTCACAGCCTGTTGAGCACTACTACCACACTAAGAGTACCCTTGCTAGAACATGCCAAACATTTGTCTGGGAGACATGACTAAGATTTTTAAGGAACCACAGAGCAGAGTTGAAAATGGTCACACCTAGGAAGCAGGAGGTTGTGCATAGCATCTCTGTATTCTATAGTGCTTTCAAGATGTGACTGGAATGCTGTTTTTCTGACAATCAGAGCAAGGCTTGAGTGCCTTTTTGGCCTCAGTGGAATTCATTTCAAAAAGTATAGAAACTTTTGAGGCTTGCTAATTTGTAACATGAAATAACTAAATAATTCTAGAAGAGATTTTAAGCTTAAGCAGATGGTGTAGAAATATTTTCCAGTTTTAATGAACATCTGGGCATCAATCTGTTCCATGTTTTTATATAGTCCTTCATTTATTTGTTCAATAATCACAATAGTTACAATTATTTGCATCCTATTCTATTAGTCTGAACATTCCTAGAGTGGTTGCAGCTTTAAATTAATTTTAAAAAACTAAAATATAGAATACAATAAAGGCTCAATCCTGTGCACAGAAAAAAATCCTATGACTTTTGTTGTAGGACCTTTTACAGGCACAGGATTGTATGCTATACATTTGAAAGCAGTGGTATTTGCCCAATCAAGGAAAAATAGCTCTAGTATTTGGCCTGGCTAAATAAAGTGTTGCTGGGTTCAGAAGGGCAACCTGGTTTGTTTTGGTGAGCTACCTAGCACAACTGGAGCACAACAAAATAAAAAAATATTTATATTTATTATATGCTTAATCTGCCTAATAACCAATGTTTTCTGGATAGATTGAAAATGATTAAACCACTAAACTTTCCCCATACAAAGCACTGAAAATATAAAACACAACAGTGGCATTTAAAAGTGCAGTATAAACTTTCTTCATTAACCATCATTTACCTCATTCGAGAAAATTGAATAGTTTGCAAAAGGGCCTCCACAAACAGAATGTAATTTTCAGGCAATAATAATAATAGCTTCAATTATTGTTTGCCATCTTTTATAATGGCAAATCATACCTGAAATATTTCATATCTGAAATTGAATTCTTCTTTTAGGAGGGTGCAATAGTATCAAGTTAAAGCTTTACTTTTGTTTTACTTTTGAGGAGATCGATGAACGTTCTTGCTTTGACTTAGTGACAGTATAGTAATATTGTTTTGTACTATAGTTGTGTTGTATGACTCATGTCAATGTAGATTGTTAAAATGTAAGCCACTGGTTAATCTTTACAGGAAGATATTAGTATTTTTAAAGTAACATTTAACTGTACTATAAGAACCTCTGCCTGCCCATGTACCTGTTTGCAGGTGGAATAGATGTCACTCCAGTTTGGGGCAGGCAGCTGCAAGCTATTTCTCCAAATTAACATTGACCCTGATTCAACCCCTTGGAATAGCTGTGCCTGTCACATAGGCATGTACTAAGGTACAGAATAGTAAGCCAAGGCTTTCTGTTTGTCAAATGGAAAAATGGTCTTTAAGAACTTTGGCCAGAAATAATTCTCAAGATCTTATCATTATGATTTGGATAAGAGAATGAGATTGTTCCATATTTGCAGTCGATACCTTTAAATGGCTCATTAGTTCAAACAGGACAAGCATTGCCCTGTGTTGACACAGTAAAGGGCTTGCATTCCTTCTCTGGAATCCACAGATGGAAGAAAATACTAGACCAACAGGTGGTAATGGTTGATTATAGAAGGAAACAAATGGGACCTGTAACAAAATAATGGGTTATGTAGTGCTTCTTTTCAGAGTACCATGTCTTCATCCAAGATAGTCCGTTCCACCCTCTCCCAATTACTTGTTGACTTGCTTTGTACAGTGGTACCTTGGCTCACAAACTTAATCCGTTTCACAACTCTGGTTGCGACCCAAATTGGTTATGAGCCAAGTCAAATTTCCCCATAAGGTTCAATGTAAATAAGGTTAATCCATTCTGTAAATAATTTTTTTAATCACAAGGAAGATGGGTGTGATCGTGGGTGTGCTGTGGGGGGACGGGCGGGATCGCGGATGCACTTGGGGTGATGGGCGCGATCACAGGTGCTCTCATGCGAGGGAGATGGGTGTGATCGCGGCCATACCCCCCCCCCCCCAGCATGACTGTGATCGCGCCTGTCTTCCTTGCGGAGCATGACCGCGATCATGGCCATCTCCCCCTCTGAGCACGACCATGATCACACCTGTGCAGGGAAGACGGGTGTGATCGTGAGCATCATCGGATGCAGAGTTCACGACCTGAGACATTTTTTTCCTGAAATTTCTGTTCGCATCCCGATCTGGTCGTGAACAGAGGCATTCGTGAGCTGAGGTACCACTGTACTCTTCTGTGGCATCTAACCCAAAAGACTGGCTTACACCAAAAGGTTGCTTGAATAAAATTTCCTCCCTGCCAGCAAAAGAACAACAGGGTGGATAGATTCTGCAGCCTTGGAGCACCCACTGAGAATGTCTTCTTGGGATGTTGCCAAATGAGCCTCTGAGCATGCCGTAATGAATGAAGGGTGCCTACCAAACCCAGGCAAGCTGATGGGAGAAAGCAGTCTTTCAGGTAGCCTGACCCCAAGCCATGTATGGCTTTACACATCATAATCAATTGTGTTCAGAAACAGACCAGGGACCCATGAAGCTATTATAACTAGGGGGTTATCCTCAAAGCATTTTTGTTTTCCTTTCCGAACAAAAAAGTTAATATACACTGTCTTCAGCAACAGACTTACAGGGGAACTGTCTAAATGAGGAACTGGATTTTCTTTCTTCTTAAATGTAGAGTTTTTTAGACATTTCCTTCAGGTTTGGGGATGTCTTTTAAACTCTCTTCTTGGTTTTTAGTATCTCTCTCTGCTTCCTGTCTTTTAGCCTGTTATAATCCCTTTCCTTATGAGCTTTTGGTGAGGGACATTTTTAAAAGCTCTTTAGCAATCCCAATGCAAAAGATACCTCAGTTGCTCAAGTGTTATCTAGAGCAAAAGCTTACGCTGATTTCTAATTTAGCCTTAAATCTGACATTTATTCAAACTTAATTAAGAAGTGATTTTTGAAGAAAGTTTATACTAGATTTAGTTGTAGTTAAGCCAACAAAGTAGGACTGGAAGAACTATTTCCATTGCTTCCAATCTGTTAGTGCCAATCACATTGTTCTAACAGGAATGATAGCACAGTGCAGTGGGAAGCTATGGCAGCTAGTTAGGTTAGTGCTTCCAGAACAGGACAAGTCACCAGAGCTCCATTCCATTAATTAGATCACTTCCGCTGCCATCAGAGCAGCATTGAATACTGCCAGCAGACTTGAATATTAAGCCCTGGGCTTAGCATTACAAGTAAAAAAGCATTACTAGTGAAAGACTAGTTTCATTTGCTAAAATCAGCCTAACATTTCCTTCCTTAATTTTCAGACACGTTCTTTGCTGGGTGTATTTGAAGAAGATGCTGCAGCTATTTCCAGATACATTAGCCAATTGTATCAAGCCATGCACCGAATTTATGATGCACAGGTAAAGTGACCATTGTTAAATGCAGAGAGTGAGAGTGAGTGGAGGAGAAGAATTGTCTTCTTGTAATATTTCCATGTTGCACGCTGTTGTGAGTGAGGGGATTGTTTGCCATTGTGTGAGAAAGGTAAGTTTGTTTAACGCTGCTATATGCACCTTAACCTGTGCTGCAAAACTGCATAAACTTCATGGCAGCTTGTCTCTAAGACTTAAACATTGCATTGTTTATGTTTATTAATAGGCAAGTAAATCAATGTATATTGTGCTATACTTAGCATATGGGGGTGACTTAGGCTGTAAGATAGTTCAATTGAATGTCAGAGAGGAAATCCTTTAAAATTGCTGAGTTAATTTTGACCCACATCACAATTCCATGGGGAGAAATCACACTCAAAAGGATCAGGCTGTCAGCAAACACTTAGCAGTGTTAGACATTAGATTGCATTCAGTGTTAGTCTAAGTGAAGCCATAATCATTTCAATGAATCCATCCTAAATAGAGCTGTGTACAGCTCGTTAAGTCCACCTTAAAATCTAAGGACAAAACTCCAGTTTACCTCTTTCCTCATCACAGAGGATCCTAGCTATCTAGGAGATGTAGTGAAATGTTATTTGTTAACCATACCATTATTCTGAAAGTCCTTTGGGGTCATCTTTGCATCCAGTCCCTGCTTATTTACGAACTACTTTTTCTCTGTCCTGCATCCACACTCCTTCCTCTGTTTGTTTTGGCTTGGTTTTCAGTCTGTTCAATTTCCAGCTTCCATTCCCTTTTCCTTTCTCCTTCTCCGGTCTTGTTCACTTACTCACCTGTACTGAAGGGCTCAAGAGCAGCATCTGTTCACTCCTTGCAGAGTTGCTTGGCTGTGGCTAAGGCTTGGATAACTGCCTGACTGGGCTGTGTATAGTATAATCACCTGGAGAACAATTTAAATGCATATAATTCTACAAATCTTGGGCTTCTCCTGGGTATGTAGCAGCTTTCTTCTTGCTTGTTGGTTTTGCTTCCAAACCAGTGGGCACAGGGTTAATTTTGCTGTTAGATGAGATGATGTTGCCTTCCATTTTGAATGATGGACCACTCACAATTCCCTGAATATGAGTGTTCCCTGGTACCCACAAATATTACTTTAAAAGTGTGAGAAAATAACTAGATAAGTTGAGTTTCAAGAATAGTTAAGTGCCACTAACCATGATTAAATAATTCAGGTTGAACCTTTGCAGTCATGCTGTGAAGTCTATAGTATTTCATTATCAGTGCAAAATAAAAAAATATTTCTTGGTCTCTTTCCTCTCTTAACTAGAATGAATTAAGTGCAGCAACACATTTGACTTCGAAGCTTCTAAAAGATTATGAGAAGCAGGTATAGTCCTCTTGCAGAATGAAGTATTGGGTTATGGTCTGATTAGGGTTGTCAACTTCTTATGCAGGGTAAGTTTGTGTATCTTTAACAGTAGTCTGGTGCACAGAAATTAAGCAGGTGAAGCTATAATCTTCTTTTACCTCCATGCTAGGGAAAGCTTTATAAACTTAATCTTGGCACAAGAAGTCAGACTCTCAAGTTGAGAATACCTTGAATAAACAAATGTCATTTTATGTTGAATTTTGATATGCCAGTTTTCATATCAACATAGATAGATTTTAATGTAATAATTGTATAATTTAATTAGATATTTGAAAGCTGTTATTCAGAGTATAGTCTCCTAGAGTTAGTTGAGTTGTCTTTTTATGAACTTAGCCTGTTCATAAAGTTCCAGAAATTCTTTTCAACTGCCCTGTAATCATCCACCAGTTTAATATTTGACTATATGGAAACCATTATAACAATTTGTTGGTCTGCATGAAGCTAGAAAAGTTTTTGGTTTTGGTACCATTGGATCTCAGTGCATTTTTATTTATTTATACTATTTCTATACTGCTAAAGATTTTTTTTTAATCATTAAGAGGTTTATAGACCTTGGAGGGTAATATTAGACTATTGAAGGGTCCTTCTGAATGTTTACAGCAAAAGTCAGCAAAGGTTATTTTCTGAGTAAAAAAGTTTTCTCTTCTGGCAGCGTTTCCCTTTAGGGGGTGATGATGAAGTTATGAATTCCACGCTGCAGCAGTTTGCAAAAGTGATAGACGAGGTAAGCCTGTATTGACTCCTTGTGTTAATGGAGGACTTATATTTTTCTTTTTAGACTAACATTTGTCTGTGTGTTTACAAAATGCTGATTCTTTGCCACGGTACAGATCATACTGGAACTTTCTTTACAACTGTGGTGGTTCTTTCCTTTCAGTGAACAGATCTGAACTCCAACTCGAGAGCCAGTGTGGTGTAGTGGTTAAGAGCCTGGGACTGGGACTCAGGCGACCTGGATTCTAGTCCCCGCTCGGCCATGGAGCCAACTGGGTGACTTTGGGCCAGTCACACACTCTCAGCCCAACCTACCTCACAGGGTTGTTGTTGTGGGGATAAGATGGAGGAGGAGAATGATGTAAGCTGCCTTGAGCCCTTTGTAGGAAAAAGGCAGGATATAAATCGAAAATAAATAAATAAATAAATAAAGTAAGGTCCACTGTGCTTTTAAAGCACCAAGGTTTGTGGATTTTCCTGCATTGTTCTACTTTTATGTAAGGGGGCATCCTACTTAATCATTTGCTAGTGTTGGATTTGCACCAGATGACCAGATGTGAGGGGATGATGCTGAGAATGTGCAATGTGTGTGGGTGATAGTCTGGGGGTAGAAAGGCGCGCATGTGTGTGCTTGGGTGGGTGTGCAGGGGAAAGGAGAGAAATGTTGATAGGCAATTGGCTGTCAAGAGGAGTTTGCCTTCTGTTAAATGGTTTTCTGTTGGAGTAGAAAAGTATGGGGTTCAAAAGACTTCTGTCTTTGGGGCTTGTACCCTGCCTTTCCCTCATTCTTAGCTTCTTGGGTATTTTATTTGTCACTCAGCCTTCCATAAAATGGGTGTTCCATGACAGGCCATTTCCACTATGGCAGCCATTTTTTAACAGCTCTCACAATTCTTTCTCAAAAATCCAACATTTCCATGAGCCTCAAAATTTTGGGAATTTCTTGGCATGACATCTGAACCCAAGGTAATGGTAATCCAAAGCTAGGATCACAAGCCAGCTTTAAACCAGAGTTTGTTGTTGGTTTACAAATCTTGCCTTGTTAGAGTGCCATAGACCAGCATGCACAGAAAGTAGATTTCCAGATGGCTTGTACATCATGACCCTGACCAGCATGTCAAAGTCAGGAATTCTGGGAATTGAATTGCAAGATATATGGAGACCTATTTTCGGCCCACCTCTCCCATATACCAGGATCCTAGATTTCTTGGTTTGTTTTCTTCCTCGCTGAAGCATGGAGCAGATTAGGAGTGAACAGCCTGCATGCATATGGACCCTTCACATCCAAATTGTGGTTTAATAAACCACTAGAAATCTCTCTGTGTATGTGTGTGTGTGTTTTTTTTTACAAAGGTATGTGCTTTCTTGTTTTTCTCTCCTTAGCTCAGTTCTTGTCATGCAGTACTATCAACTCAGTTAGCTGATGCCATGATGTTTCCTATTACCCAGTTCAAGGAAAGAGATCTAAAAGGTACAGGAGTTTCTGACATACATGTGTGCTTGCACAGTTGCTTATTCAGTGCCCGGTTCTACTTTGATGCCCAGGCCTGCATCAGTTGTCCACTTATACCAGTCCTCAAGTCTAGATCAAAATTTGGGTTGCTTGTCCTATTGAAATCAGTGAGAGTTTTCCTGTTTTCTGCATGCAACTCTGAACTTCTGCTCTGATTTCCTGTAAAAGTGAATGATGTAGGCATTATTTCTCTGTGGGAATTATTGTAAGAGAAGTTCATGGAGGATATGTTTGGTGTAAGTGGGAGAACTCTTTCATATGAACCTTAAAATATATACAACTATAGAATTATTAAACTGATCATTCAGTGAAATTGATCATCCTTAAGGAAGGAAATGTCATTCATATAATTTAGTATATAACAAACTATAAAAGGCAGATTCCTCGGTGTTGTTTTGTGACAGCACACATTATTTTTAAGGATTTGAACATGACTATGGAGAGTAGCTTTTGGAGCTTGAGAGTCATTCTGGGGGAACAAGTTCAGGTAATTAAGAAATAAACTCCATGCATTAGTCACCTCTGCCTATTTGATGTTTAGAAATATAACAGGGCAATCCTTTGTACATTTTACATGGCTTTGTCTTTAGTAAGAATGGATACAATTTTAAGATTAATTTTCTGTACTGTTGATTGTATCTAATGGTTGGGTGCAATGATGTGGGTTTTCTTGAAGATTTTGAACTGGCAAATTTTCAGTTCAAATGACCTGAAACAAATTAAGCTGAAATTTTGAAGTTTAAATGTTCCATTGTCTCAGGGAGATTGAATTTAGCCTATTCATTTTTCTGTTTATAGTATTTAGTAAACAAAGCTGTTAAAGTCACATGTGCTATTTTTTGATGCAATACACAAATATTTTACCTGAAATGTTTCAGGAAAAAAATTACAGTGCACTTATGCAATGTAACTGTTATATTCCATAGACATTTTTATTGGAATACTTCTAAACGTATTTAAGAATTCCTTTGCATATGTTTCTATTACATTGTTTTAAATTTATGAAAAAAGCAAAGGTGCTGAAAATATTAACTAATTTTAGCAATCTGGATTACAATTTTGAAATTGCCAGACTTGCATGATACTGTATCTGCAGCTGGCATGTATTCATTTTTACTGTGACCTTACGATGTGGAAAAACATTTTTCTGTGGAAAAATAAAGCACTGAAAAAAATTCCACCCCACGGTACTGGCTGTGCAGTTGGAAGGAGCTTGTGTGCTGACCTCTCTGTTGCTCATCTGCTCCCACTGCCTGCTGTACTATCCCGTACCCCTGCAGTGGGTTAGGGGCTACTCCCAAACAAAGAGGGCTGTGTCAGACAAGGCTGTAGTGGGAGGAGGGAGGAATGATGACTGCCGTTGTGCAGATGGTTCTGGGACCAAGGGAGCTCCCTTTTGGCCAGGGACTTCTGCCTGATTTCAGGCAACTGCCCTGCTCTCATGGCAGCCCGGTGCAACACAGTCCACACTGTGCAAGAGGGGACCCAGTTCCTCTTGAGAGGCTTTTGCGGGGCACTGGGGGCTGCAGTGGAAGCAGCTGAAAACAGAGGTCAGTTGTATGAGCTAAACATTGGACCGTACCTTATGATCTTTCTGGAAAGTTGTCTCCTTAATGCATGTGCCATTTAGTTTGTAAAAAGCAGGACAAATGGGAACCTGAAATAAGCGAATCAAATCCTATAGTACACATCTGTAAAACTGCAGTAGTATTATGTACTTTCTTACATGAGGTACATTTTTTTTCAGAGATATTAACTTTAAAAGAAGTTTTCCAGATCTCAAGCAATGGTATGTATGCCTTAGATGTTTGTTTTCTGGCATGCTTTTTATGTTATGCGTAAGAACACATCAGAACCATGTTGGATCAGACGAAAGGCCCACGTAGTCCAGCGTTCTGTTCAGACAGCAGCCTAACAGGTGCATGTAGGAAACTCACACATAGAACATGAATGCAATAGTACTCTTCAAATTGTTTTTCCCTGGTACTGGGATACTGCTGTTAGGTCCCAGAAGGTCTTGTCCACCAATCTCTCTGCCAAGTCAAGCTTTGCAAGTCAGCAGCCCTGGTATCAACTTATTTCCCAAGAGCTTGGAACTTATTACACTGAGTAATTAGCTCATGACTAGAAGCTGGTTGGCAAATACTCTTAAATGTAGCACTCAGTTTAAAACTAGATAGTCCTGCACAGCTGCTAGCATTCTACATTCATAACTCATTTTACTCCTGTTGTTACTGGATTTATTTTTGCCTGGAAAACTGATTTACTAGGAGAAGGTGGGAAATACATTTGTCATTACTTATAGTTATTCATAGTTGTTTATTGACCAGATGAAGAGAAGGTAGGGAAAAGCTGACTGCCCTGGCCTCCTTGCTTTGTTGCTAAATTCACATTAGTGTAAAATTCACTTTTAAGCTGCTGCTGCTGCTGCTGCTAGATCACTTTTCTATATGGCCCATAGGTGAAGCTCTCATCTGGGTGGTTCATAACATTTTCAGTCACCCATTTTTTACTTAGACCTAGACTCATTGGTTGTAAATGAGATTTTTAGTGCAGAAGTTTGAGAATTGTGCATTTAATGCATTGTTACTAACCTCATTTCTGATAAGAGACTTATTTACTAAGCTGTAGTAAATTAACCAGGGTAGTTGTGGGAATATAGTCTAAATTGCTATGGTATTTCATAATTGACATACATTTTATGGTGTCCATAATTTTAAAAATTCTGTTGTGAGCAGTGCAATATGAAAATATTTCCCCAAACTTTCCAGTGAAGAATTCCTTTTCACAGACAGCTTACCTAACGATATTAGAGAGCAATTTGGAAGTTAGCTTAAGGTGTTCCTAGAATTTGAATAGATTTTCCCTGAAGTAGGATTTTTTTTTGTTCCAAAATACATTGAATTAGTTAAAAAGAAAAAAAGAAAGCAAAAAACTGGCACTGACACATTTGAGGGTACCAGTCCGGTTTTGGTGCTTCTGTGTTTTGTTGGCAGTGAAATAGCACTACTTTCTGTAAATATTAATTTTTAAAAAAATTAATTAAGCACTTGTATTTTTGTGGTTCCTATTCAAATGCAAAATGCAATGCAATTTTCTGTTTCAGATCATGATGCTGCCATCACCAGATACAGTCGGCTGTCAAAAAAAAGGGAAAATGAAAAGGTTTGAGAAACTGAATTCGGCAGTTTGGCATCATGTCATAGAATGGCTGCATCTGCTAATTCTTAGATGATATACATCTGTATGATTTTGAACTGTTGTATACACTCAGCAGTTAAGACCATTTTGTGAAGAACACAAAAACCTGTTTTCCCATGTAGCATAGGATTTTCTAAAATAACTTTTTCATTTTGTTTTTTAGTGGTTTGAAAATGTAATTTCTAAATTTATAATGATAGGTCAGTACAAGAGAGAGAATGCTTCAGATTCTAATAGGGTAATTTTTACTTAATAAACACCATGTAATGCAATTCTTTTAGAGATAAAGTATGCTGTCCTGAGTAAAATTGTTTCTTTCCAGGTCAAATATGAAGTTACAGAAGATGTATATACTTCCCGGAAGAAACAACATCAAACTATGATGCATTATTTCTGTGCATTAAATACTCTGCAATATAAGAAGAAAATTGCTATGTTAGAACCCTTATTAGGATACATGCAAGCTCAGGTGATTATCTGCAAAAATTGAGAGTCTTGTATGGGAGGTTTGTGTAAAATTATTGCATTACTCGAGAACATGAGATAGGTTTATGTCCAGGTATGTTGGAACTGCAGGAGTACCCTGTGTGCTCAAAGCAATATAGTTAGATATTCTTCTTTTCCCCTTTTCCCCTACCCATGCTTCTAGAAACAAAAAATGTGCTGGTACTATGAAATTCGCTATACTGTTCTTTTGCACCGATGCGCAAGTTCTTTTGTGCCAAGTATTTGATTGATACAAAAATGTTTGATTGATACAAAAGTGTTTGATTGCTGCTGAGACAAGTGAGTCCCCATCAGGATTGCTGCACTGACTAGATCCTACTGCCTGCATTACTTTATAGGCAGATGAACAGGAGGACTGTAGAGAAGTAAGCATATCCAAGCACACTTTAAACGCTGCACAGGGACAGGCAATTGGTGCCCTCTGCATATTTTGGACTACAACTCCTGTTATCACTGACCACTGCCCCTGTTGGCTGGGCCAATGGAACTTGCAGTCCCAAACATCTGGAGGGTACCTGGTTGCCTATTCCTGAAATTAGCTTGCCCAGCAGTGGCTCTCCCCACTTACAGTTAGCAATGGGAGTTATTCTCTGTTTGGAGAAATTGTGAGTAATGGGGAATCTTACAGAAGTTGTTAAGAGAGCAAAGTAAGCATTTTGTCAGCTTCCTGTTTTCTGAGTTGTGCAGTGTGACTACGATTTCTTGATCTATACTTGTGCAAAGTGGTGCTTCGTGCTTGCTGAAATGATACACACACAAAGAAAATTGTTTGTTAAACAACTGCATTCTTTTTAAAGATAAACTTCTTTAAGATGGGCTCCGAAAATCTTTCTGAACAGTTGGAAGAATTTTTAACAAACATTGGGACAAGTGTACAAGAGTAAGTTAACTTTCTTCTTTAACATCTCATTTTAAATTATCTGTTCCAGTTAATGTGATTTAACTTAAAAACTTTTGCCTTATGCTTTTTAGTGTTCGCAGGGAAATGGATCATGACGTAGAAACTATGCAGCAAACGATAGAAGACTTGGAGATAGCCAGTGACCCTCTATATCTGCCTGATCCCGATCCTACAAAATTTCCTGCCCAGAGGAACCTTACTCGGAAAGCTGGATATCTTAATGCAAGAAAGTAAGACCTAATGTTCTTTGTAGAAACATCTCAGTCGCCTACATTACTAATAAGTGAGATATTAAAAAATTAAGTAGCTAGATTATTTGCTGTGTCTTCCAGTTTTTGTGATGGTTCAAGTATCCATCTTCTTTCATAACACCATAATAGTCAAACATTTTGGAATTTTGTCAATTATATCTAGTAGCTCTGTAATACTTTAATGGAAAATTTGAAAGATATAGGAAACTAAAATTATTATATGCAAGCATACCATTAAGTGCTTAAATTCTAAAGCTGAAATTAGTCTGTCTTAACATGGTAAAAAATTATGGTAGTGCCATTGATACACTCTCTACAATTCTATCAGACTAAATTTTATATTTTCCTTCAGTGTTTGCACTTTGCTTTACCTTACTTTGAAGGAATTTGGCTCTTTCTCCCCTCTGCTCCCTCCTTTTTATTCTCAAAAAATTGTTTAAAAGCTGGGATTCACTGAAAGATGGTGATTGGCTCAGACCCACCCAAGGAACTTCATGGCAGGATGGTGATCTGATTCTCTTAACTGCACCACCCTCACTTAAGTCCATTCATCTGATCCTGCTCATGAAATCTACTGCTACAAGATGCTCGTTTTAGAATGCTTCCAGAGAAGGCTGGGAAGCAAGGAAATTATATGCAAATATGGGAGAACACCTTCATCTTCATTCATTGTGCATGTTGAAACTTCTAGAGAGACCAGCTATTCAGGTTTTAATAGATAGGTTCTTTGAAATTTGAAATGGATTGGTTCTTTGAATTGTTTATTTCATGTAATGTATTTCTCACCTTTCACAGTTCTCCCTCGCCCACCCACATTTTATCTTTATAAGCCTGTGAGGCAGGTTAGGTTGCCAGTTGATGACTGGCTGAAGATTGCTCAGATAGTTTTGTGACTGAACGGCACTGTGAACTTGCATCTTCATAGACCTTGTCCAACAGTCAGGCACTCTAGTCTGACAGGAATTAATGAGATTACAGCAAGTGTAATTTGCAAGCAATTCTATTAGTTTGAGTTTTGGCTATATTCTTATTTCTGGATTTCTGCAAGAGAAAGCATCGGTAACAATGCTTACATCATTCAAACATTTTCCCATAATTTTAGAGGCCTTTAATGAACATTTGCACTATCCAAAGATGATTTCAAGCTAAGCTGCAGACAGTGGGGAAGGTTGGCATGCAAATTCTGTATTAGGCTTGGGATTTGTGAAAGCTCAATCTCTCCCATGCCCGCACTCACCCTCAGCTAGCTGAGCTGTGATTTCTTTGCTTAATAAACTAATGTTTACACCAGCAGCATCATATCAAATTATATTGTGTTCTTTAAAACAGGCCAACCTTTCGGACAACCTGTGTTTGCTGGTTTTACATATTCTAAGTCAATCTACTCTCCTTTCAGTAAAACAGGACTGGTGTCTTCCACTTGGGACAGACAGTTTTACTTCACGCAGGGTGGAAATCTCATGAGCCAGGCAAGAGGTGATGTAGCTGGTGGCCTTGTTATGGATATAGACAACTGCTCAGTCATGGCTGTGGATTGTGAAGACAGAAGATACTGCTTTCAGATAACATCTTTCGATGGGAAAAAGTTTGTGTTCTCATTCCTTAATATTATGTATTAAGTAATACAGCTATTGGACAAGAAATTGAGAAAGCGCTTTAATTCTTGCTTTTTTAGAAAGCATAGTATTTTGAAAAGGGGGTTTCATTAGCATGCTATACCACAGTACCCTTCCAAGAAGTTATATTGTATGGGTTGTTCACGTAACAACCCACTGTGTACCGGATAAGCAGTTGAATGTACTGTGGCTTGTTTGCTTCCTTCATCCTCCAGCCAGTATGCCATTGTCCCCCTTAGAAGAACCGCTCTTGCCTTTGCCTCCCTGCTCTGATCGCTCCCTGTTTTTATTGACCACCATTTTTCAGAGTCTTAAAAAAAAGTTATTTTCATTTTCTAATTTTTTTAGTCCCCAAATAATTGTAGTTGTAGTTGCTCTTGTTGCTTTGTCAGTT